GGTGGGGGGCTGCAGGGAGCTGGAGATGGAAAGCAGAAGTGCTGAAGCCTGGACCCCTGATTTGTGGGACCCCTTCCTTCCTGTAGTTACTGCTTTGTGCGTGTTGAGCACTAATGACCAGAATGGTATTTATCAAGCTTTATAACATCTTGTTTCCCTCTGATAAGTTCAAAAACTTTATATACCTGTCCGCTGACATTGAAACCCTGTGCCTTTGCTCCCATTTGCAATGTTGAGTCTATTTTCCACATAGTTATGTAACCTCAGACGAGTTTTGAAGCCTGTCTTTTAATAGTTTGTATTAGTAAGACAATAGGTATGCTTTATTTTCCAAATAAAAACATGTATCATAATAATATTGAATAACCTTTCTCAAACCACACATGCCCTGCACTCTCTCCCTCATTCCCCATAGCTGAACCCCCCCCCCCCCACACACACACACACATACACACACTTCACACGAGACTAGCTGGGCAAGTGCAAGGTCTTATGCCTTCCTAGCATCTTTATACTAAGTTTACCTTCCATAGGAGGGAGGGGAGGACACTCGGGGGCAGGGTAAGCACAGCTTGCGACGGGCCCCCCCCCCCCCACACACACACACACATACACACACTTCACACGAGACTAGCTGGGCAAGTGCAAGGTCTTATGCCTTCCTAGCATCTTTATACTAAGTTTACCTTCCATAGGAGGGAGAGGAGGACACTCGGGGGCAGGGTAAGCACAGCTTGTGACGGAGGAGGGAAGGGCTTGTTAAGTGTCCTCCACTTACACAAAATAACCTGGAAGATGAACAGGGCAATACACCTTAGTGCTCTCCCCAGCAAAGGTCAGGCATCTGTCTCTCCTATGCCGAGAACCCGGTGTAGGCACAGGACACCGGGAAAGGGAAGAGGCTGTGAAGTGTATTTGGTACAAAGCTAGAGAACATGTCATGCCGTGCACCTCAGTGAACTGGTCTGAACGTCCTGGCTTCTCTAATCTGTTCTGTCTTTCCTTTTGGCCTGTGGCCAGTCAAACCAAGGGGGGCATAGTTATAGCTCTTCCGTGGTTTTTCAACACATAGAGGTAGTAAAAGGAAAGAGAAAAGGGGAAGACCAAAACTGAGAGGAGATTGAGAGGAAATTTCTGACTTGGCATGTGGATGAGGCAGGCAGAAAAAGAACAGAGGAAAAAGAAAAGGAGAACTAACAAAAAGAACCCTATTTTTTTTCAGCGGGAATATCATAATTTGCTATCCATTATGTAATTTTACTTTTTGATATGGGCAACATAACATATTTTATTGCTATACTTTTTAGCCCAAGGTGAGCCAAGAAATAAATGCCTTATGTAACCAAAGCATAATGCTGACCGTCCATCATGTCCTTATAGCCCCTCCTGCTTTACTCTCTGTCTCTCATGTTATATCACAGCACTCCTCCCTCTCCATTGAGAGGGCACATGTTAGCTAATGAAAGTTAATAGCAGTTTATTCCCTAGGAGTAGCTTGTTTAATTCTAAAGCTAATGGCCCCATTTCCCAGAAGTCTAAGTGTCTAGTTTCTGATTTATTCAATTGGCTGATGTTCTGAGAGTTCTGACAACCACTCTAACCTCTCCCCTTCCTGAAATTAGCAACAACTTTTGTCATCACTGGTGATTCTAAAATTTTTGACAGCTGGTGATAGAAAAGGTAAATTTTTCTCTACTGGAGAGAGGAAAAAGTCCACTACGGTGAATGAATTACCTGTAGATTTTGAAGAAAAACAGGGGGATTTTCATAGGAATAAATAACTGCATGCTAAATTTAATTGTATGATTTTTTTCTGTGTTATTTATTTTTGTTTATCTTTAGATCAGTGAATTTGTTTCAGTAATAAAGAATAATGATGAGATTAAGTTTGTACCCCAAGAAGATTTTTTTTTGGTTTGTTATCTATTTAGGTTTTTTTTTCCCCACTCTACCTTAAACATGAGTATCTACAGTCAAATGTAATTGCAGACAATTCTTACTTTAAAAACACATTCAAAATGTTGGACAGATGAAATTAAAGGTCCAAATTCAAGTAAAATCTGAACCTCGAATGAGTTACTGGTAGGTTGTCTCATGTTTCAGCTCAAGTGAGATCCTTCATTCTAGATTGAGTGTGAGGTTATTTTAGAACCAAGACAATGCGGTCTTCTTATTCTAGCCAAGTTCTCTCTTGTCGCATGTATCTGACTTAGTGTTATTTTGCATTAATTGTCACTGCATTCCTGCTCATGTCAAAGAGGGCTTGGGCTAAGTGATCTCGATCAGAGGCTATGCATCAGATCTTTAGGCATGAAAGGCGGGCCGGCTGGGCAGTAGAATCATACAGTTCTGAAATGCATAGGAATGGCTGTTGAGAAAGCTAGGCTTAAACTCTCAGGTATAAGCCAAAGCAGTCCACAGGTGAAATTTCATCTCCAGGGATCTCTCAGTTCTCCTTTAAGGCCTTTCAATGGACTGATTATGTAAGATAATCTCCTTTACTTAAAGTCAACTGTTTAAGGATCTTAATCCCCTCTATAAAGTACCTGTACAGCAACAGGTACTACATTAGTGTTTTAATTGAATATGTTAGCCACAGTGAAACCTAACAATAACTATCGTAGATGGCAAGCAAAAGTATTTGTATATGGGTGGTGGTGGGAGAGAGGAGTTTGGGCGTGTAAAAGAAAGTAATTGGTTACATTCCATCAAAGTGGGATATGGACTAAATAAATTCCAGAATTTCTCTGCTGAAATTTATAGGATTGATGTGACATAATTATGCCCTATAATTTCTACAAAGCCAGGATACATTTCTCTGACAACAGGCAATTACTTTTCTGTATGTGTTTAAGGTGACATGATCTTCTTTAGTTTAAAGTCTGGGAAGACTGCTTTATATAACGGTGAATCACCTTTCCCTTTCTTGCTCCTTGCAACTTGACTTCCACCCCAGCTTTGCTTGCCTAATTCATCCTTGAATGTCTGTCAAAGAAAATGGTTTGTTACATTAATATAGGTCTTATGTTTTTCAGTTATGAAAAGCTTTTCAAGGCTTGATGTAGCTTTCAAAAATTCTCTTATTGCTGATCTAGGTATTATCACTGTAGGAGTTGAAGTCATGAGACAATTTTATGGGAGTAATTTCTTGGCAAAGTTAGATTTTTGTGCTGAAACCCTGCTGGGTGCTACACATGTTGATGGATGACCCACTGTTTAATAGGACATTTTAGTGTTCACGCATGTGAGGAATGGATGTGCTAATTAGAGCCTTGGAAGAAAATTCTGCTTTATGTTGTAGGGTTTTGCATATGCAATAGCCTTTGTTTTGTTTGTCATTTTCTGTGGCTTTTTAAAAGCGTATTTGCCAAATAACTGAAAGTGCGAGTGTAAAAATGTTCTGATGTCCTATGAACGTGTCCCCAGGGGGGGCTGAACTGAATTTTTAAGAATAGGAAGACAGATAGTAGAACTTCTCAATGGCTTGCCAGGGTTTTGAAAAATCCCAAATAAGGGGTCTGAAGTTGTGCACTGAGGACCAAGCCTGCCTGAAAGTGTTTTCATGTGGTTTGCAAAGACGATACTATATTTTTAAGTTTGCCTGTTTAATATAAGTGAGTCTAGTAAACCACGGCCACCAGCACTCCATATTGCTGCACACTTGGCTGCTTCAAGTATTTGGTACCTGCCCAGCCTTTGAAGTTATTTGAGGGTTTAGTGAAGTCCACTGGTAGGAGCAGTAGATACATGTGGCTTAGTGCTTTCAAGGAGTGGATGTTCTAGCTGAAACTTTGACTTACAGTGGAAAAAATTGATGTCATACAGTGTATACATAAGAGCTGAATTTATAGATACCTTGCCATCTACTCACTTATTCTGTCTATATCTCTCATTCTGGGATGGGGGCTACTGGGGTAGCCTGAAGGCCAAAGAGATAAGACATCCTTGGCTACCTTTTGGATGTAGGAGGCAAGTCTGGGTGAAGGCAACAGCTTAGGAAGAAACTGTCAGTTTTTCCTTCCAATATGAGGGTAACCTAGACATTGAAGGAGAGGCAGAGGATGAACAGAGTAAGGAAGAACTGAGAGAGGGGGAGAGGGAGAGAGAGAGAGAGGAAGAGAGAGAGAGAAGAGAAGAGAAGAGAAGAGAAGAGAAGAGAAGAGAAGAGAAGAGAAGAGAAGAGAAGAGAAGAGAAGAGAAGAGAAGAGAGAGAGAAGGAGAGAAGAGAGAGAGAAGAGAAGAGAAGAGAAGAGAAGAGAAGAGAAGAGAAGAGAAGAGAAGAGAAAAGAGAAGAGAAGAGGAGGAAGAAAATGAAGTCTGAGAAAAATACTGAGTTTGAAGGAGTCAAGAAAGATTGAGTTTTTGAGACTTCAGATGGACAGGAGGAAAGGACAAGAGTGAGGGCTTGAGAACCTCTGTGAACAGAAATACCCAACTAGCATTTTCAGGAGCCAGTGAGGCCGCAGGTGATAGAGAGTTGGGAGGTAGTAGAAAGTGAGGTGTGCTGGGTTGGATGAGGCCAGTGTGGGCCAGACAAGTAAGCAAGGCTAATATTTATGGAAGGCTTTGTGGCTACCAGGCAGATATTATTTGATGTGTCTCTCTGATGACTTATATCATCATTTTATAGATAAGGAAACAAAGGCTCAGGCAGCTCAAATTATTCAAGTTCTTAAATCCAGAATATCTGAATCCAAGTCTAGTGTTCTTTGCATGGATCAAGTAAAGAACTTTCTTCTTGAGAAAACCACTGAAGCCTTTTGAGCAGAGGGTAATATGTTGAACATGGAAGAGAAAAAAAAGAATGGTAGAGTCAGGAGACCATGTGGTCTCCATAGTAGATTGCTGTTCTTGCTTCCTAGATCCATCCCCAAAGTCTTGGGGTCATTGGCTCCAACAAAATGCTAATGTGTTTAATTTATTCTCCTAATAGAAATACACATCTTTTATACTCATATTATTAGAAAGTACTTAACCTTTACCCCATATAATGAACCAGTGGTCTTTTTGATTATATGGACCAAGTTTATCCACTGTATGAGTGAAATTATGTTTCTGCAGGTGTTACTTTATGGGTTTTGTTTTTGAGGTTTTGATTGATGTAGTTGCTATTGCTCAGTTTCTCTAGATAAAATGTATAAACTAATAATATATTTGAAATAGTTTCCTTATTGCAAATTTAGATTTGGATGGAGCAAGGCAACTGCATTATTCTGAGAATTTGTCTTATGGTGAAGATGAGCCCACCTCTGCCCATGCACAGTCCCTATGTGAGGTGGGGGATACCAGGCACCATGGTGCATCTCCCCAGGAAACCAGTGTGGTCCACAGGCTCAGTCGCCAGTCCACAGAGGGCAGCTTGGAGATGGAAGCCGCTTTTAATAACCGGGGACTTGAAGACTCCTATGCCACTGATAGTTCCTCCGTGTGGAGTCCAGAGGCAAGTGACTTGTTTTCCATTTTTTTCTTGCTTCAGTGTTTTGTGCTCTGTCTAGTTCTTGCTCTCCTCCCCTCCCCAGCCTTCAAGAAAAGATTTCTCCAAAAAGAAAACATTTCCTTAAACGAAGACCTAAAGAGCCTTTATTTAAATAAACTTTTGTTCAGATGACCAAGATCTGACACCTATGTGGACCAATAAAAGAATCATATAAATTTCTATCAAAATGGAAAAAAAGAAAGAAGAATGGTGGCATAATGGGCCCAGAAACAACTAGGCTTCTTTTTTACATAAAGGAGATTTTAGTTCTTTAGAGAGACTTTTTTATGTTTTTAATTAATTGGAATCTATTTTTATTTACTCCAAATCTTGAGTAATGATTATTTGAATATGAGAATTATTTGAAAATTAAATTAAAATACAGTGGCCCTCCAAATGAAATTATACATGATATTATGATGACAATCTTGCAGTATATTTGTTGGCTTTTCATTGAATTGAAGGTCTAAGAAATGGCATTAGTCTGGCCATTGACTTTGCTTTCTGAAGTAAATCTACGATAAAAGATGCTTCTTCTAAATTTATTTTTCAATTAAAACTTACTCCAGAATATACCTAGCTAACCAAAGGTTGGACTGGAGGTGATGGTGCTAGAAACTACCATTTATTGAGCAATTACTATGTGCCAAGCACTGTGATAAGGATTTTGCAAATATTGTTTTATCTTACAGGCATTCACAGTTATTCCTTATTAGCTAGATCCCTCCTAAAATGATTCTATAACATTAAGAGATATTCAATTGTGTCTAATACGTTCACTGAAATTAATTTTGATGAAATAAGTCATATATAAATATATAAAACTTATTTGTAATTTGTGGGGATAGAGGAAGGAGAAGGGTGAATGGGTTTTGTTAGCATCAGTCTGACTGAGAAAATAAACAGGGTAAATCTCTTATTAGGGCCTGGACTGTCATAAACACCAAATGCTCACCAAGGAGAAGGAAAAAAATTACAGGAAATCATGTCCAAATCCTGACACACTGAGGCGTGCAGAGAGAGCGTAAGGAGATATGCACATGTGTGTACATTCCCCTGTGTTGGTGTTTCTGCTAAGGACAGTAGATGGTAACTCAGATATGTATGTGCAGCTTGTTAAAAGCAGCCCTTCATATTAGAGACACCCAAAGCTATTAACCTTATACGTTTTGTAAAACAATTGTGCTTTCTTGTCAGTTTACTGCCAAGAGTCATACTAAATCCCACACAGTAACATTCTATTTGGCTCCCTCACTACAAAAACAAAACAGCACTGTTTACCTACCTAGTGATACTCCGTCCCCTTGATCACTATGCCATTAGCCTGGAATTGCTTCTCCAGGTAATCACCCATTTGCCTGCCTCATGGAGCTTTAATAGGAGACTTGGTGTTGAGGGCACTAAATGTTCTCAGACTCCCAAAATACCCAGACATCTCTGTGTGCTCCATTCAACCTCCTATATCTATTTTGAGACAAAAACTGTAATTTGTGCTCTTACAGTAGAACCTCAAATGCAGCTCGGAGACAGTTCCTGTAACTGCCTGCTTGGCAGGCTTAGCTCGCCTTTTAAGAATTGATTTATTTGCCTCTTAGCTGTATTAAGAGCCCTGTCTTCCCCCCTGTATCTGGCATCGGGAACATATCGTGGGTCTGTTTACTCTGGGCCACACAGATGACATCAATACTATTTTACTAAGACAAAAGAGGCTTTCAATTTGATAGAAAAATCTTTAAACCTACATGGTTTTTTGACAATGTGGCACAAGTATTCCCATCCTAAAGAAAAACCCAGGCTATTAGAGCTAAAGGAATCCAATTTTATTTGGACTCAGAAGGAAACAGGTCATGCAGTGTGACTCCCTGTTAGTCTGATGGATTTCCATGCGCTGTGCTTCCTGGCCGGGAAGACTTTCCCCTGCACACCCAAGGCTTGGTGGGGAGGACAATGGGAAGGTGGCTGGTGATGCTGAGCACACAGGGAGGGGGGTGTCCCACTTTTCATCTCTTCCCACTGATTAACTGGTTGGCCTTGAGAAGTTAATTAAAATCTGCCAAATGGGGATAAAAATGAAGAGATTTTTACCTTGCAGGAAGGTCAAATGGATTAGTGATATTAACCGTACCCACGTGAGGAGCGGCTTTAGTTGCCTGGTGATAGGTAATATGTGTTGAAGTGATTAATTGCTCTGAAAGTACCTGCCTTCACAAATCTTCATTTCAGACCATCGAAGGAAGGGGCTACGTTTTCATGGGCTGCAGTTTGAATGTCCCCATCCACAGCCTGGTCTCTGCCTGGAGTTGTCTTACTCAGTTATTTCAGGCCCCTCTTCTCTCCCAGGACTTTACCACAAACCCGCAGGTGCAGTGAGCATTTATCTGAATAGACAGCCTGAGGGATGAGTGGAGAGAAAGTCATTAACTAGGATATTTTTACCTTGGCATTGAAGTTGATGACAGAACTGGGAACTGTTAACTAGTATTAAGAGCAGGGCCTAAAAAGATGTGAAATTCCAAGTAGTGCATGTTTTCAACTCTCTTCTCCAATCTTATTCCCTCTGCATCTCACACAGTTACTATACACAGAAATTGCTATGGCGAAAGGTTTGGGGAGAAGAAGGGAGACATAATGGTTCACAGTTACTATACACAGAAATTGCTATGGCGAAAGGTTTTGGGGAGAAGAAGGGAGACATAATGTTTGGGATTTTAAGCATTAATATGGGTAAATCCTGGATAGTCCTGGCTGGGCTTATGATGTTGGGGGCATGGAATGAATTACTTAGCCTTTCTAAGCCTTGGTTTCCTATAAAAAGGAAGATATTAAAATACATACATCATTAGGTTAAAGTGAATATTTTAAAAGATAATATTTCTTAGCTGCATTTCCCGAAAAGGACAGGACATGCAACCCCAGGAAGAGTGAGGGACATGGGAGTGAGGCAGGGAAGAACGGAGTGTCATTATGAGTATAATCAAGTTGGCACCATTTAGTGTGACTCATGGCTTGATCCTGTGGGACTGTACTCTGTGAAGCTGTACAAACTAATCTCAGGACATCTTTCCAAGGGGAGAAAAGTTTAGTGTATGAGGCATGAAGTCTCCCTACACTCTGGACTTTCTATACATGAGTGCCAAGCAGGATTCTGGGACTTTCCACATCTTGACATCAGCAGAGAGCCTGTGGTGGGAGCTAAGAGCTATGTGGCATGGCAGGAGGTAAGGCTTTATTAAGTTTCTCCAGGCTGAAGCCATTTAGAGCCCAGACAGGCTGGGCCTGTAGGGGAAGATGGAATAAAAGGTGAGGCCAAGAAAGTCTGAAGTGCATAAAAGCAGGCTTTTATAGTCTATAAAGGGTTTAGTATGGTACCTGGCATAAGGGAGGGCTTAGTATATGTTATATATTATTACTTATTTTTTTAAAATATATTTTTATTGATTTCAGAGAGGAAGGGAGAGGGAGAGAGAGATAGAAACATCAATGACAAGAGAGAATCATTGATTGGCTGCCTCCTGCACTCCCCCTACTGGAGATCAACCCCACAACGTAGGCATGTGCCCTGACCCGGAATTGAACCATGACCTCCTGGTTCATAGCTCAGTGCTCAACCAGTGAGCCATGTTGGCTGGCTATTATTACTTATGTTCTGACAAGCAATATAGAGATGATCACGAGTAGACTAAAATAGATGGAAATTTTAACAGAAGTCTGTGACTTGAGTTTTGAGTTGGCCTCACTCCTTGGAGACTTGCTGCTAATATTATATCTACACTAGTCAGTTGTATTCAAAAGTCTCTATAGCAACCACTTTTATGACTTGAAACCAAGAACCTCTGAATAGAAACACTCACACATGAATGCATGCATGCTCAGAGGAAAAGATAGAAGTTACCCTTATTTTGCAAGAAGCCTAAATTTTCCTGGTAGACTAATGTGAATCTTAAGAGAGAGGACATTTAATAGATGTCTTCTATAAGTCAAGTCCTTTAATTTTCACAACAACCCTATAAAGTAGGTATCCTCTTCATGTTAATATTTAGAAAAATAGGAAGTGGAAAAGATTAAATAACTTGCCCAATGTCACTGAGGTAGCAGGAGGTAGACCTGGGATTCCTAAGGCTGTCTCATTCCAGAGAACTATGCACTTTTACTTGAACTCTGTTGGAAAGTTATGTTGCTGCATGTGCATTATTCTGGTGTTTTATTTATATATATTTAAATAAAGAGGTTTTTGAATTAGCAAAGTCTGGTGTTCCATTACATAAATAAGGACTGATTCTGATTTACAATAAGAAATCAGACCAAAGTTTAGTTATGGGCAAGAGTCATGCCTTCGGAGGGAAAATCAAATTAGGTTGACATGATTTATAGTCTGTTGGAGGGTGACTCATTACAGTAAATGCAGCTCAGCTCAGTTTTCTCGGTGAGGTCATCAGATCTGACTGGCTACAGGTGAATTGCTGTCTAAAGGTGATATTTCATAATGAGGGGAGCCTGTTTGAAAATAGGTAGCACCAGTCTATTCATGGGAATAGATATTTATGGAGTCTGTTCTGAGCCAGGTATTTTTTTCACATCTGTTAAAACCTCACAACAGCACTCTATCAAGTAGGCATCTTAATGCTCTTTTTTTTTCTAATGAGAGTACAGAAAGGATGGTCTATTTGGCCAGGATCAAAAAGCTAGTCAGTGGTAGATTGATGATTTCTGCTTGACACTCGTGTATACATTCAGCCTAGGTGTTCTGTCTCCAAGTCCAATGTTGCTGCTCACTAAATGGCTGCTGGGGATGCCACCCTAGACCTTTGCTACTCAAAATGTGCTTCAAGGACAACTGTGATATCCTCCTCAGCTTCTGAAAAATGTAGAATCTCAGGCCCCACCCCAGTCCTACTGAGTAAGAGTCTCCTGATGATTCAAGTCCACACAGGCATTTGAGAAGCTCTGCCCTAAGCTTTTCTCCCATGTAGACTGAATATCTACTGAGGGATCACCTGTCCATGACCCTGATTTTATTAGGATTCTTGTCTTCAGGAGGTCCTGGCCCATAGAGCACAGGTCCAGGCTCAACCATTTCTCTTGTGACTCAAGGTAAAGTTACCCCTCAGCAGTTGTGTAGCTTACTCATTTTAGATTTTGCATCTCAGTTGGTTTCAATGATAGTGGTCAGTTATGCTTTTTGAGAGAAAGATACTGCAAAACATAAAAGCTTTGTTCATTTGTTCCAAAAGCATTCATGAAGTCTCCCTGTGTTCCAGGCACTGTGCCCTCAAAAAATTCACAATCTAATGGAGAGATAGGCCAATAAATATACCTTTCTAATATAGAGGGATCTGAGCTCACAGTTAAAAAGTGCAGGGTTCTGAAGGAGCAGAGGGGCATCGTCTCACCGAAATGCAGTGGGTATTATCATTTCCATTCCTAATCGTTTCCTTTGTCTACAACAGGAGCAGGATGGGGCTGATTTTCAGCTGCCATCAGGGGTCCCAGAGCCCATCTCAAAGTGTGGTGATCTGGATGTCATCTTTGAATATAGAGCTGCCAGCCAGAAACTCACAGTGACCATTGTGAGAGCACAGGGCCTTCCGGATAAGGACCGAAGTGGCATCAACTCCTGGCAAGTTCATGTAGTCCTGCTGCCCAGTAAGAAACAGAGGGGCAGGACGAGCATTCAGAGAGGGCCCAACCCTGTCTTCAAGGAGAAGGTCACCTTCACCAAGCTAGAGCCCAGAGATGTGGCTGTCTGTGCCGTCCGCTTCCGCCTGTACGCTGCCCGCAAGATGACCCGTGAGAGAATGATGGGAGAGAAGCTGTTCTGTCTCAGCCACCTGCACCCAGAAGGGGAAATGAAAGTGACTCTGGTTCTGGAGCCAAGAAGTAACATCAGTGTGAGTAGGTTAGATGGTGCTGCCAGTGACGTGGTGTGTTCAAGGATGTGGAATTGTCAGCCCTTGATTTAGTGCATTTGGCCTGTGAAATTCAACACTTTAATGTAATTTTCCATTTGGTTCTCTTCATCCTTTTAAGCCATGATTTGCACTTTATGCTTCCCTGGGTTTTTCATGCCCGTCTTCCTTATAACCTGATGGATGTCCATTTTAAGAAATAAGAGCACAGTGTGTGTTGGGCATGGGAAAACCAGGAGAGGTGGCTCGGCCTTCTAGTTAGTTAATAAATGGTCCTACCACCCATACTCCTGCTCCTCCCACAATATGCATTATGATGCACTCAGAGATGGGACTCTCAAGGTGAGGTGCTTGACACATGTGCTTACGGCTGCAAACAGTCGCCTAAAACTCCAGCCACTTTGAAGACCTTCCATTTATATGACCAAACACCTCCATGTGCCCCATCCTCTGCCTCCCCTGGGGTTTTGAGGAAAGAAAGTGCAGCTTGTATGTCTGCAAGATGGGCATCTCACTATTGCCATCGGTAATGTGTAGTGTGACTATTACCTTTTAAAAAACATGTAAAAAGATCAGGTCGCTCTCTTGGGCCAATCAGTCATTCATTCAGAGATGTGTACTGAGTGCCTGTTCTGTGTCAGGTGCCATGAAGGGGATTCAGGAAAGGACAAAACAGGCGATTGTTCCATCCTCAGGGAGCTTGCAATCTGGCGGAGGAGGGCGACAGTAGGTAAACCAAAGCAGGAAGGAAAGACAATGACTGAGGCTGCTGTTTGTTCAAAAGAGTCAGAGACAGTTTCTTTGAGGTGGTGATAAAATACAGAATTCAAGAAATCAAGAAAAAAGCTGGTGACATGTGGAGGACAAGGATGTCAGACAGAGAGAATGGCACACGCAGGTGTTGGGGTGGGAAGGTACTCATCATGTCTGAAGAAGAGGAAAGGAGTCAGAAAGGTTAGAGTGTAGCCATGGGAGATCCAGCCAATTATATTTTTAGTAGATGTCTCAAAATTAATATCTCCTGAGTCGACATCCTGATTTTTGCCTCCCTAATTCTATTCCACCTATGGTCTTCCAATCTTGGCTAAAGGCAATTTCATCCTTTTAGTTGCTCAGATAAAAAAAATCTTACAAGTCATTTGTGAGTTCTCTCCTTTCCACCTGAAATCCTATTGGCTCTGTCTTCAAAAATACAACCAGAACCCGACTCTCTGCTGGAAGAAATGGCCTCCTACGTTCTCCCTGCTTTTGTCTCTGCCCCTCAGACTATGCCCAACATGGGCTCAGAATGAGCCTTTTTAAGCATAAGCCAGATCACGTAGCATCTCTGCTCAAACCCTTATTTTTCCTTAAGCTCTGAGTAAAGCATATCTGAAATCGTGAACAACAGAAGCCACAGGAGGTCAGGTGTCCTGCCGGCACTATAGAGCTCAGGGTTAGGTATGATCACACCCCCGTTACCTGTGCCAGGCCCTGTGCTGTGCTCTGGGAGCACAGAGTTGAGTGGGGAACATGAGTCAGTATGAAAGAACTCCGAGGATAAAAAATTTTCCATTCGCCAGTTATTGGTTAAGCATGATTATATGCACTGTGGCCTGAGAGGTTTATAAGGATTGGGAATTTGCTGGGAGAGGCAAGCTATGCAGCCCACAGTAGATGCTTCTGTAGAAACACAGGGGAGGGGGGATCCTCATCCAAAACTAAACAAATATTCCATTGTCGGGTTATCATACCCAATAGGTTCTTATCTAAGGTGCTTATCAAAACCACCTGGCCCTATAGTTTACAAATTGTGTTCCATGAAAGCAGGGGCTCTAGATGGCTGGATAAACAGGATATTTTCCTACAGATGTAAAGAATGCTTAATTACTCTTAATTCATTTATTCATTGGAGTTTCTGATAAGAAGTTTTAGGAAATGACATTAGATGTGGAGAAGAAAGGTTTGAGCAAAGTTCCATGTACTTATTTCTGGTGGAGGAAGTGGTGGCCCCAGGAGGCTGGCTGGTTTCCCTTGCAAAGCTGATTCCTACTCCCCCTTCCTGAAGGAGAATCAACTTGGTGATCGATTTCCCTCTCTTCTTCTTGATGTGTCTTTGCATCAAGAGGGTGCTTTGGAGAAGCAAGCACGTGAATAAACAGAAGGCCGAGGCTCTTCCCTGGGCTCACCTGTTGCCTGCCAGGTCTCTGAGATCTCAGTCCATGTGTCAGCTTCCTTATCAAAAAGTTGTAAAAGTGCTCATTTTCAATGTCATTTAGTTCTTTGGAGGAAAAAAAGACCATCAGGCATATTCCTGACAACCTTAGAAGCAGAACTAGGGACCAAATGTCCTATGCGGTGGTAGACATCCAGTGGTCATTTCTTTTCCCAGCGAAGACAAAATGCCCTTTGAATTGCCCCATTCATCACAAAGCTGCAGAGAACGGAGTGGATGGGTTCCATAGAAGCACTCGAGCACAAATCACACAGGAGGGAATTTTGGTCTATATTAAATGTATTATTAGCTCTCTGTGTATCTTAGAGGGTTTGATTTACACTAGTAATAACATCTTGGTTCGTTTTGTCTTTGGAGAGGAATTATTGAATGGAGACAGCTCTTGAAACAAAGATGTCAGTTAATAATGCAGGGGATCTCGTCCCCGGCTGGCTCCCCAGGCCCATTATCATTCCCACGGAGTGCGCCCTTCCTTCGTAATCTTTGGCAGCCATTGAGACTGGGCCACAATTTCACCAAACATAATATTGGCTTTCTGTAAGAGAGAGAAGTGCAGCGTGCACCAATGGCTTCTTTGTTTTTCTTCCCCTCCAGAGTGGAGAGTCTCCGCTCAGCCCATCTGCCGTTTCTCACAGTGATAGTGCTTCATCCACGCAGTCGCTGTCTCATGGAGGGGCACCAGAGCTGTTGGTGGGGCTGTCCTACAATGCCACAACGGGGCGATTATCTGTGGAAATGATCAAAGGCAGCCATTTCCGAAACCTCGCTGTGAACAGAGCGCCTGGTAAGTGCATGTCTATTCCCCCAGCTCTGTTCCTTCCAGGAGCAAGTACAAGGCTGTGTGTGCTTTCATCTTAAGTCTTTAGCTTTTACAATAAAAGTGATCTTGGTATAGCTTAGAGAGTTTTTACAGAGTGATACCTCTGTGCTTTTTAATTGTCTTTCTATTTAATTAGATTGGAGGCTTCTTTGATACCTAGACACATCTTGACATGAAATAGGCTGACCTCTATGTGTATATTGTGTAAGAGAAAAGAATGGTGTCTTTTCAGCATCATAATATGTATGGGAAATTACAGTTCCGTGGCTGGATAAACAGGATATTTTCCTACAGATTCAAGGCTCTCAAACACCTTCAAAGAGGCAGGTCTACTTGCTTACCTACTAGCTTTGCTCTGATCTGTGCAATGCGCTTGTCTTAATCTTGGTACACTCATTTAGAGAAAAAATAATTAATAATATCTTCCTCATGGGGTTTTTTTTGGGGTGCAAATAAAATGATTTATGTACAGTGTTAGCACAGTGCCTAACACATAGTGAGGATACTAGAAATGTTAGTGGTTATGGTCTTGATGGAGGAGGAAGATCTGGGGTGACACAGGCCTGCCTCACCACTTCTGAGATCACCATTGGAAAAAAGGGCTCAAGACTTACTCCAATAGCTGCAGTACAGGGTTCAGGAAATCAGAATAAGAAAGCAGCTCCTGCCAACTACCTTTCAAAGCCCAAGAAGTTAGAGATTGAGTACTGGAATGATGCTGCTAACAATGAGTTTACCTTTAATGATCTTGTTTGTCAGCAAAAAACAGCTTAAAGGGGGGGGGGCAGGAAGATAATTTTTGCCTCTGTTCTGCCTTGTGGATCTCATGTAAGTACATCTACTCAAAGGATCCAAATTTGTATCCAGAATGCTAGCTGCAAGAGAGTCTGAAAAATGTTGAATTTCCAGCCTTTCAAGTATAGGAAGGTAAATTAGAAGGGGGTAGAGTGAAGTGCAAGTGAGCCTGTCACCATCAGCAACAAAGTCTTCCTGAAATAAGGATGAAATCAATAACTACATGATAGGCTGCGCAGGGCAATAAACTCCGGCCTCGTGTCAGCATCGATGAAGAGCCAGCATAGCTGGTAGAAAAAGGTTGGTTCTACCAACCAAATCTGAGCTCTTACTCTTTATTTAGGGGGGGGGCTCTTATTCTGTTTAGCCTTTAATTGTGCTACATCCCATGAAATCTCCATTCACTGGTATTTTGTTAGCCAATCTGTATTAAAGCTATTAGAGCAAGTTCATGGAAAGCCCCACACACTGGAAAACAGAATATACAGCTGCATAAACTATAATCTGTGTTGACACTCAGAACCAGGTGAGAGCTATTTAAAATATGTATTAGGTGCTGTTTGAACAGGTACACTTTGTTAGATACAGCTTTGCTTTTTTTTCTTTATTGATTAAGGTATTGCATATGTGTCCTTATCCCCCCATTGCCCCCCACCCCACTCCCGTTCATGCCTCACCCCTGGTGTCTGTGTCCATTGGTTATGCTGTTATGCATGCATACAAGTCCTTAGGTTGATCTCTCCCCCTTACCCCCACCCCCCTCTACCTTCCCTCTGAGGTTTGAGCATCTGATTGATGTTTTTCTGTCTCTGGATCAGCTTTGCTTTTTAAAATAGCTTTGGATTGATGAAATATCTGAATTCAATGCTTTATCTTCAGAGTTTTTGGTCTCTTTTTTTGTCATTCTGGGGTTTGGTGAGATCTGAACAATTTTGGGGGAAGAACTTGGTGGCGCTGCAGAGATTTAGGGGGAGGTGGATCACACAGTGATGGCTCTTTCCAGTGGATGCTGGGAAACTTTATTTTGTATGCTGGGTGGTACCAGGAAATATAGGAGATGGGGGAGGACAGCATGGTGGCTATGGAAACATCAGCTAGAGGCCAAAAAACTAATATGTAAATTCAGGCTCTGCCACTTCCTAGTTGTGAGTTGCTAAAGTTTTTTGAATCTCAGTTTCCTCATCTGTAAAATGAGGTCGTAATATATACTTTCTAGGTAGGGCTATTGCATATAAAGCTGCGTGCGATGTTGAGGATGCTATTATTATATTTTCATACATTTCTATATGAAAGAAAATACGCCAAAGGGAAATTCTTACAACAAATGTTTACAACAAAATAGGAAAAAGTAATTTAGAAATTGATTTGATTCCAGAAGTTTAAGTCAGTTTGGCATTTACAACATGATTTTTCTTAGACATAGCGTTGCAATTTAACTTAAAATGTAATTGACATGCTGTGTCTTTGCAACCATAGTAATAGAAGACAATGTTGCTGTGATGCTAGTAATTAAAACAGAAACCCAAAAGGGAAGACAAAAGTTTTTTGTTTATGTAGAATGCTGGTCCTTGAGGAAAATCCAGCACAATTAGGAGGGGTTGAGAAAGTAGAAGGTTTCTTTGTGAAAGGGATCTCTTGCCACTTTCAAGGGCTTTAGTTGTTGATGGCTTTGGTTCTTCATTATGTCTCACTTCATTACACCACAAGCACCACTTTGGCAGTCGTCAGGCAAGCTTAGAATACATTTTTAGTTCCCATATGGAAGAGGACAAGGGAGAGAAAGGATGAGGGAACATGAGTTTTATGAGGTAATTGAGCAGAGTTGGAAGAAACAGGAGGAGAGAGGATGCAAGTGGGGAAATGAGTGGGCCTGGGAGCAGGGGTGGTGGAGAGACCTTGCCAAGTGCACTGGCCTCCAAGTTGGAGGTGATGGGAGGATGTGGGACCAAAAAGCCCCATGGAAGAGCCCACCATGAAGGAGATGCCTGCCAGGGGAGAGACACATGTAGGAACATGTATATGCAAGGGTCACAGATCTTGTGCTTGGGACTCTTGGCATTGGTGCAGTTATCTAGTCTGTAAGAGGGGACATCAAGCCTGTCTTACAGGGTGGCTATGATAATGTGAAGAATCGTTCTTAGGGAATCTGAAGGGAAGGAGTCGCTGAGCCTGTGTACTGGGAGCTTTCCTTGTCTAGGATATTGAGGATTCTAAATCTTTCTGGAAACAAAGGCTGGAATTTAGATGTGAGAATTTTTTGTCTCAAAATATATCATGAAACAGAAGATAACTTTGAATTCAGAGCTTGATTCAGTCAGATGACTGTTCTGATATTTTAAACTTGTCTTCTTAAGCAAGATAGAAGAGTTGGACAAATAGTAGATGAAGTTCCTCTTCTCTATTAGGGTCTTGGAAGAAATGTAAGACCCATCCCGAAACTTTTGAGTTAAATCCTTGGGGAGAAGGCTCAGTGAGGGGTAGGTTTTACTCTGATGAACAGGAGCTGGTGGAGGCATACTTAGAGATGTAAGTCTCCACCTCCCGCCACCCCCAGAATAGCTAAAACTGAAAAGACCAATTCCACCAAGTGTGGAGAATACATTCTTGGTGGGAGTGGAAAATGAAACAACCACTTTGGGAAAATTCCTGTCAGTTTCTTATACAAGTCAAATGCACTGAAAATCCAGCAGTTCCATCTTAGGCATTTAACTATAAGTTTAAAAAAAGATCTGCACAAGAATGTTCCTAGCAGCTTTATTCATAATGTCAAAAACCACAAAAAGTCTTCATGTCCTCATGAATGAATCAACAAATTAAGATATATTTGTATTGTGGAATACTATTCAGCAATACAAAGGAATGAAATTAACTTAGGCATTTAACAGCATGGAGGAATCCCCCAAACATTCCATTTATATGAAGTTCTAAAATAGGCAAAACTCATCTATAGTGAATTTATAAAGTAGAAGAGTGGTTGCTTTAGGATTGGTATTGGTGGCAGGATGGACTGGACAGGAACAGGAGGAAATATTCTGGGGTGATGGACATGTTTTATATTTTAATAGAAGTTTGTGTTAAATGGATGTTCGCATTTGTCAAAACTTATTTGGGTGTTGGACACACAATGCAATATATAGAATGTATCATAGAAAAGTACACTTGAAACTTATATGCTCCTATTAACCAATGTCACCCCAATAAATCTAATTTAAAAACTTACTGAATGGTACTAGGTTTTGTACATTTAACTGTATGTGAATTTTAACTTAATATAGAAAAGAACCATAAAACATTGAACTCTAGTTAATTAAAAGCATGCTGAAATGTTTAGGGTCAGGAGTAATGATGGCTACAGCTAAGATGGATTGATGTTTAGATAGATGGATATTTATATAAGAAAGCAAACTGTGTTAGTTCAGACTGCTATAACAAAAATACCATAGACTGGGTGGCTTAAACTATAGTAATTTATTTCTCCTGGCTGCGGAGGCTGCGGACTCCAAGATCAAGGTGCCAGCGTTTCTGGCAGGCAGACATGTTCTTGTCATGTCTTCACACAGCAAGAGGAAGAAAAAAAATCATCTCTCTCATGTCTCTTCGTATAAGGGCATTAATCCCATTCAGGAGAGTGTCACCCTCATGACCTAATCACTTTCCAAAGGCCCCAAATACCACCAGACCTTCAAATGGCTTCACTGAGGATTGGGGCTTTAACATACGAATTTTGGGAAGATGTATACATTTAGTCCATAGCGCAAATGGAGCAAAACATCACAATTGAAGAATCTAGGTGTTGGGTTTATGGGTGTCCACTGTACCATCTTAGTTATAAAATTTTGGGCAGAAAAAATGGTCTGGAATGGTTCAGCTGGGTCAGGAGGATAAAAATAAAACAAGAGAGCCATAGATAGGGGTATTGTGTGTGTGTGTGTGTGTGTGTGTGTGTGTGTTTGGCACATGGTTATGGGATGTAGGTTAAGGTTAGTTCATGTTGCTACCTCATTTATATACTGTTTCTGAATCAGATCTATGAGCTAGTTTCAGTAATTTTCAAATAGCCTCTTTTATCTTCCCTAGCATACCTTTAATTTGAAAAAACAACAACACAGCAATTTATACTTTATAACATGAGCACTTTCACCAAAAAGATGGTAGATAGATAGATAGAT